TTATTTACTTCGCCTTATACACACTAATTTTATTTCGCTGGAAACCAGCAAAATTTTGCTGGATTTTGCCGAGCTGGATTTACAGCAATCCATCCAGCAAAAAATAACTTTGCTGACCTTTCAGCAATCCAGTTTGACAGTTACTTTGCTGGATTTTCAGCAATTATTTTTATCGACAGCAGTAGGATTTTGCTGTACTTTCAGAATTATTTTGTTTTGTTTATTTGTTTTAATAAATGTATATAGATTATTGATTTACAAAAGAAGTTTTTTGTATTTATTCATATTGCAGCGAATTTTATTAAATGGGCATGGTTAATTGATGTTATTTGGGATTAACACAATGTATATGATGGATGAACCCCACCAGATAAGCAAACTATCGGTGATCCTTTCTGGACCTGCTTTAGATAGCATCTGGAAAAGATACATTTATAATAGAGTTTATTTTGACTTACTTTCATGAGGATCTTACCGCTCTCGAAGATGAATGTTTGCAGGAAATAGATAAATACTCTGTCAATAATACTGTCACCTGACTTTAACAACTGTTTACCAACTTGTGATACATGTAAAGAAGTATAAGTCTAACTGACAGATAGCACTTGCATATTTTACTGGTTTCAGCAATAAAAATACGTTTACTGATTTCCAGCACTTCAAACGAACCGTTGCTGATATTCAGTAAAAATTAGTTTTGCTGGACATTATTCAGCAATTCAAATTGCTGGAAGGCGAATTCAAATTTTGGTGTGATACTTCGCTTCTTATCAACCAACGTTTACTGTGAACTCAAGAGGAAAACGTGTTTGACTAGAAAAATATCCTAAAGCTGGGTATTGATGAATTTACGCAAAGATATAACCATAGAGGTAACTCTAAGACTAGTAGGTCCCGAAGAAACGTGCTCAACTTTTTGACTTAGCTCTGGTACTCTCTTCGGTCCCAAGCTAATCGATGCACCCCTCGAAACATACACTGATAAAATTTCAAAGATTGTTTTTATGTGTCCCACACATGAATTTTTGCAATGTGATCAACAAATGATATCTATGTGTCGGACACATACTGAATATGTGTACACATAAAAGCCATGTGTAACCACGCATACTATTCATTTGACTCATAAATTTCATGTGTGCTTCTGGGTGAATTCTGTTTATGTGTGGTCACATGAAAATCATGTGGAATTTTACATGGAAATTCGTCAATAAAAATGTGTGGAATTCTATTAGTGTAGGAAAATCCACTAACCCCTCATTTTATCTGTCAAACTTTCATAGCGAATAAAAAAAAACATTGTGTAGTACTAGAATTTTGACTAGAATGTGCTGCGTTAATCGATTTGCTTAGGACGAATAGGCTAGTCGAGTAGTGAGCCAATTTAAAAACGTTATGACATCAACATTTCTAACTGATTTAGATGAATTCAAGCAACCAACCATATGTAATCGGTAGAGTGAATATACTATTAAGATTTCCCCGGTATAAGTAACTTTAATAGCAATAAATGAGCTAGTAATTACGATGATTACAACACTGTCACGTTTTGTCATGACAAAAAAAATCGATGAAATTTTGTAGAAAATCTCTATCGGCGTTTTCTCATCCTCTGTAAATATCGCGTGAGATCTTCAATTGAAAATGACATTTACCAGCCCTAGTTGTAGCTAATGAACTAACGCATCGGAACAAACCTATTATTGATTTGTGCACGGTGAAATCATTGATATTATTGATCTCTTCTGATCGATAGAACGGAAATGGGCGATTACGATGAAGTAACGCTCTACCTATACAATGTTTTAAAATCCGAAACCGCTAACCTGAAACAGGACCGTCGGTTTTTTATTTAAATAAATACACGCTAACTTGAATGTACATATTAAATGAGTACATTTTACTCATTTTATAATATTATTCCAAACTGTCAAATAGTGGGTATTTTCAAAAAATTAAAAGTGGGTAATTTCAAATCATATTTGCCCTCTAGCAATAAAAAATGATAAAAAAGTGAGGGACACGCAATACAAAGAACCGGTGCGTTGAAGTTAAAATGCAATCAAAAGTACTTAAAGTAGGGGAAATGTATGTAATGTCGGCCTAAGTGTCCCTAATTTGGGCCCATACATAAATTCAGCAACCGACTAAATTTTCAATAGCAACCAACAATATCCATTAGTACCGTCCCAATAACGCGTTCATCTAGATAAAATTGATAAATAGCAAGGGGCCCAATCTTAGATCTATAGGCCAACATTAGAGCCATTTCCCCTAATGAATGCGTTTTGAATTAGTACTGACGATAATTAAAATGTATAATGTATAATGAGTCACGCCAAGAGAAAAACAGTTGAACTCGCATCACGGTTTTCGAAACATTCCCTTTATTTTCACTTGGCAACAGAGGACTTCTACATCAACTTCAAATGACTTCTAGCGAGAAAAAAATAGTAGAAATTATCATAAGTGATCATTACCAAAGGTAACCCAAGACAATTTATTGCTCACTGCGTGTTTATGATCTTTCTTCGATTATATTTTATATTTTATTGCAATACCTTCGTGCATCTTTCATAGCATCGTAATGTTTGTTTACTTTGCAAGATAGGTAGCCGGTTTAACAGTTCAATAGTTCGCGTGACTCATTATACACCGACTCTAGGTTTAGTCATGGTGGGTATATAAATGGTGATACAGCTTTGACACTATATAGGCGAGGAGGTCGCGGGGGGGAAAAATGCGGTTTTAGAGCAAATTGTAAACAAACTCGGTCGCTGTCCCATACAAAAATCCAACATGGCTGAATCACGAATTTGACACATTAGAACACCTATATGAAGCAACCTTGGGTTTAGTGAAGTGAAAGTGCAACTTGCGAGTTTCCGTGAAGTCAAAAATATGGATCAACAGGTCTGTGCCATCAAAAGGGAGAAAATAATTTAATGTCAAAAGCAGTTAAAAGTGGGTACTTTTTCTTAACGTGAAGATCAACACGCTAAGAAAAAAGTATACATTAATGTTTAAACTTTAACCAGTTTCGAGAAAACCCGCACATATTCATAAAATGAATAAACGCTGTTTACACGGTAAGAAAAAATACTCAAAATTAAGTTAAAAAAAACTCAACGTTGGGTTCTATCATTTGAGGTCCGCCGTTGAGTGAATCAGAAAAGCGGCGTTGGTTAAAATTTACTCAACTATTGAGTAATAATAAATGAACTCAAATATAAGTTTATTTTCATTGAGGTTGCTTTTATGCGCCTTTAACCATTTCAGTTTCACAAGCGTTGATAGACGAGTGGTCAACATACGGGCCCCGTAATCTCAACGTCCATGGTTCGGTTCCAGTCTGCTCCGTTTTATTATTTTTTTGTCAACTTGGTCGACGCCAGGATTACTCAAAATTGAGTTTTCTTCTTTAACTTAATTTTACCTAGCCCCACGGAAGCCACGTGATGAGTGAAAGGAACTCAATTTTGGGCACTTTTTTCTTACCGTGTACTCATCGGATGAATAAACACGTTTTTCTCGAAAGTGATTAAATTTTAATCATTAATGAATAAAGACGTTATTCTCAAAAGTGGTTAAATTGTATGCACTGGAAGGAATTTAAATGGCTGATTTCGTTTATTTTAAACATATATTATTATAAATTACAATCGAATAAAATCCAATAAAAAGTAACGTTTATTTCAAGCTTCTGGTTCGTGTTGCTGTTTGGTCCACCGCCTTAGTGACCTTGTACACGGTGACCGGAGAATACTCCGTTCTTCTGCTGCCGGCTGGTCCCCTTGGTTTCAACGCAGAATCCATCATGTGATTCGCGAGGCTGTTCATATCGGCAATGGTTGGCAATGGTCAGGAGGATACTCTGCTGTGGTGGTGTTGTTTCTGCCCTTGGTGGTGATTCAATGTTGGGAACATGCTGCTCCTGGCGAATCTATCCTAATTGCGTACAAAGCAGTGTAGTCCAATCACGGAACACCTTCGCACAATCCGGAATCGGATGTTTCCTTGTTTTCGCGATCCTTTCGTCGACCTTCCCGTTCCGTTGCCCGGCGAACTCGATCCGGATCGTTGTGCTGCCGTTTGAAGCCCTATGTAGTGGGGATCAAAAGTTTTGAAATAACAAAACAATGTACCTTAGATATACTTACTATTATCATCGACCATCTCTTTGGCCTGATTCCGCACATTCTGTCCTGTTTCCAAAGTCGGAAACAGATTCCGCGGAAGAAAACTTTATTTTCGTTCCGGCACTTGATTCCGAAGGAAGCCGCAATTCCTAATTCTCACTAGACGATGATGACTTCATCTTGGAGTTCTCACCGCACTCTAGAAATGAAAACAAAACTATAAGTTAGTTTTAAATTGTATGTATATTATAATAATAATATTAACAATCTATCTACCTGCGAAAAGTTGATGAATGATGGCCGCTGCGGTTTCGGAAAATAATTGCTGCCATGTTTTTTTTCAGCCACTGGTGAATAAAATTTAGACACTTATGTTGCAAAATGGTTTTCTCTGGAAATGTCTAAATTGTATACACTTTTTTGCTATAAATTTCAACCACTCTATGACAGCTCGAACAAGCTCCCAAAAGTGGTTAAAAAATAGTCATCAATGCATAAACTCGTTTTTCCATTAATGGCCTGGCGGGGATGCACAAGAGAAAATCTAGGTTTCGATTATCTTCATCGGTATTCTCTTTGCATTGCTACAGCTAAATGAAACAATTTTCTAGAATTTGTTCAATGCAGTGCTGTAGCAGGTTTACTGGCTATCAAAAGCACCAGCAAACGCACCGAGAAACGTTAATCCAAGGGAGTTATTAACAAAAGAGAAAATCAACCAAGATCGATTATCTTCTCACGTTTACGCCCTTATACATGCTCACTGTCGAAATGGCGAAAATCGACGAAAAGAATCTGTCAAAGCTATATGGTACTATAGGACCTAATTCATTGTTCGGCTTGATATATGCGGTTTGTTATCAATGGAGTTCGGATTGTTACGGCAGGAATCAAAAATTTATATTCTTCTCAATAATTTTTGTGAATACTCAAATATTTTGCGCTAATCATGAGTTTCATACGAAGTGCCTCGTTCTGTCGCCATCCGTTGTCAATGGTAAGCAAAACAACAAACATGTAGTTTCAAGCACATTGAAATTCTGTATATTTCTAGATACGTTCTTTCTCGTCTACATCCATTCGACCTAGCGGCGAAATTCCTAAGAATGTAATCGAAAATCTTGCTACGGCCCAGCACCAACCAGGAAACGGGCTCATATACGATAAGAAACCTTTCAGAATAGAATTGGCTGAAGGCATGTTTCGCCATAGAAATGGATATGAATGCGAGTGACTAACAACTTCAATTTTTTAGGCAAACGATATTCTTGGTGCTTATGTGGAAGATCTAAGACTCAACCACTGTGTGATGGAACCCACAAGCTAGAGCAATATAAAATCACTTTAAGGTTACTTTATTTACAACTTGCTAGTTATGGTTCAGCAGGGGATTAATGCCCAAATCACATTTCTTTCCAGACCGGTGCGATTCCAGGTTGAGAAGACTGGCACATATTGGTTATGTAACTGTAAGCACACGAAAAACCGACCGTTCTGTGATGGTACTCATAAGAATGAAGACATTCAAAAAACTACGGGCAAGAATTGAATGTTCTTGAACTGATGTAGTGTACTAGCATTTTTTGAATAAAATTCAGATAGGCTCCTTAATGTCGACCTAAGTGTTCCTCATATTGGGCCAAAACATAAATTTCGATGGAAAGCATTTTTTGACAATGTTTCACTAGCAACCGAAAATATCCATTTGTTTGTCCAGTTGACGTATACTGCCTCTAATCGCATATCAGTCCCATATGAATTTTCAGCAATTTTAAGATAATAACGCTATCCACTATCACGTGGCATCTACTTTCATATTACGTGATAAAACTATGACTTTGATCATGAAAAATGTGAAAAAAAACATCAAGTCAGTTTGTCCCATCAAGCAAAATAAGCGCATATCAGTCCCATCCTGAAATTCAGTCGTCCAGAGGTCAAGTTACAGTTATCTTTGTTGAATCTCCGTATTTTTAGCTGATATAACAAATCATGCAGGCTTCATTGCAACTGATTTTAACTATGATTTTTTTTTTATTATTTACATGGAAATTGCACTTCTTAATTTCAACTGCCATTTTCTCAATGCTTACTTTTTCCATATGGGACTGATATGGGATTATAGGCAGTATAGTTCTACGAAAAAAATTGAACGAGATTTCCAATGATAATGAGCGTCCTGAAAAGAACCTTTTGATATGAATATTAGTTGGGACATGCTGGGATTTGGCCTTCTGTCTCGCAAAATCAAAATCAAGATTACAACTCTGGAGAGCATTTTGTGTGGTCGTGGCGTGTGTTCAAAATGTTACGCAATTGCATTCTCCCTATTCGCACACGCCCGAAGATCGGAGGCGAACGCCACTTCGACTTGTTTCATCTTCTAAAGACTCTCTGATAACAGTGTTGGGGAACCAGCAATGCTACATCGACATGTTTCGTCTAGAAACGATTCTCTGATGACTGTGTTGGGGAAGCAGCATATGCATATACGTAATTGGTAGATTGGTTAGTTATTTCGACGCTGAACAATGGTTAACATTTAACTATTTTCAATAGCTTCTTGTTGAAAATCAACACTCAGAAGCAATGCTAGAATTTCGATGCGTAGAAATATTTCTGATCGATTGGTGATAAAATGATTGAAATTGGTCTTGTAGCAGCTGAGTTATTTACGTTCAAATTCTTTCATAATTTCGTTACATTTTTTATTTTCGGTTTTCACAAAGTGTACCCACAAGTGCCGGTGGTGTACCCCCATATAGAAATCACAGGCGTAGTCCTACGTAAAAAATGATTATAGATTCCGCTGTTATTTGTTTTGTGCTGTGCAATCGATTTTGCTGATTACTCCTTGTAACAACCAATACGCATAATTTGGGCAATCTGTGGACCAAGCAAGACGAGCTTAAAAATGTAAAGGGAACATGCATAAATGACGTAGCATTTGAGGGGGGTTCCAGAATTTGTGACCGGTTATGTATAAGGCATAGCAAATGCTACGCGGGAGGGGGATCTAAATTGATAAAAAAATGCTACGTAATTTATGGATAATCCATGGAGTCATATCATCACCCCTATTCTGTATTTCGTTTCGAACAAAATTCTCATACAAAAAATTTTTTTTTTTTTGTATGAGAACTTCGTTCGAAACGAAATACACTGGAGTCGCTTTTTACGCGGTTTTTTTTACACGGTTTTTTTACGCGGATTCCGGAATTTACGCGGTTTTTTTTACGCGGATTTTGGTTTTTTTTTACGCGGATTTCAGAATTGACGCGGTATATCGCTTTTTACGCGGTTTTTTCTTACACGGTCTTTTTTTACACGGTTTTTTTTACGCGGATTTCGGAATTTACGCTGTTTTTTTTACGCGGATTCCGGAATTTACGCGGTTTTTTTTACGCGGGACGTATCACCCGCGTAAAAAGCGACTCCAGTGTATAGAATAGTGGTTCATATTTGGTTCTTAAGAGGAATGTCATCATGAAATATAAAAAAAAAACAAATGTTTTTGCAGATAGTATTGTCTATTAATTGAAAAGAATCAATTTTAAATTAGCAGAGTCACGTCATACAAAAATAATGATCTTTAGCATCCAAATTTTATTAGATTAGTTTGCATTAGGGTTTTTTGTTGCTTAACTGCTATGACCAGTATGTATGATCTTATACATACATACTGGTCATCGCAGTTTCACTAGCACGGCTGGCGAATATGATCGTTTGAACAGAAAGTGTTGACAAATTTCTGCCATAAGTTCATTTCACACGTTGACGTTTATGTAACAATTGCGGGAGCGTGTTTTTTAAGATGTTTTTACGCGCATAGTTAGATTCAATGCTTTCTTATTAACAGAGTATTTGAGCTAACGCTTATGTGTCTATTATACATTTTGTTTCGATACAAGCTGTTTACAAATATAAATTAATACAGTTCTAGACCGTTTTCCACCATTTAATCATTGTTGCTGTACACTACTTTCAAATGAATCGGTACTCATCCTGTATAAAACGACAAATGTGCATCTGAACAAACATAGGGATTCACGACACTGAACCGCTAAACTGTTTTTATTAGAAGCAGGTTTCTGTGGTATCGATGATTAAGCTCTTTTTAGGTGAACTGTTGTAAGACTTTCTCAACCGTAGACTGATGGTACAAGTAACAAGGCATTTTGGAATAAATATGGACCACTGCTTTACTGGTTAATGTGTTTTGTGTTGTAGAAGATGAATGGATTTAAATATTAGTTTAGTGTGTGCAGAGCATTTTTGACAGCTTATCATGCCAGATTGATGCATAGATTATACGAGGCGAAATGCATAACAATACACTAGGATTAAAACAGTCGATTTACATCCTTCCGAAAAATGCTTCCAATACTACAATTACAAACAATACACTCTGCTATTGGACACAAAAATGCTTGAACGAAATCTTTTATGCGGTAATTCTGTTAGATCTTTTTTTTTCATTTTGCGTAAATATATATGTGTAGATTGAATACTTGTTTTGTTGTTCATAGAATCGCAATTTCGAAAAAGTATAAGTTCATATTTTAACTACATCATATTTGATACACGCTTCCTTTCTTATCATTTGCTCACCAAAAAAAAAACTGCTCTGATTAGTCACATTCATAATAGTTATTTATAATAATGAATTATTTTAAATACAAAAGAAACAAAACCTCATCATCACTACTGCAATCTTCTTCTCTCATAAGGTTAAATTACAGCTTTCGCTTCTTTCTTACTGTGTCTTGTTTGGCCGTCCGCACACACGACCGTCGTCGCCATCAGTCGATTTTAGTAGTCGGCCATCATCTCTTTGCGCTAGTACACTATACATTCGGTAACTGAGAGTGACATTTTCATAAGTTTAAGAAATTTCAGCTTGCCGTATGCAACTTTTGATCACTGTCAAATTAGATCAGATTTTCACAATTGATAAAGTACGACATAAAGCAGCTGAAATTTATATAAAATGTCCCTCGTTTCTTACCGAACGTTGATTTTTACCTGTTCCAGAGCATCTGGCGTACAGCTCGAAGAAAATAGTAAACGTAGTAAGGTTCTATTTAGGAAAATTGTGAATGGATGACGACTGTGTTCTGCAGGGATCCCGATCGAGGCCACAAGAGCGTGTGAGTGTTCGCCAAAACCGTCAGTGCGCAAGTGACGCATGGTTTTTAGTATTCTTCTTCCTCTGGGGGGACATCATCCGGAGGAGCAAAGCCATCCTAGTAGTGAAAAAAGAAAAGTAAATTGTACGAATGTATCAATTTACTAAGTAAAGCTTTTGGTTTGTAATACGCTTTGCATGGATACAAAAATCAAAGTGTAAAGGATATAGCCATAAAGTTGAATCATAGAAGAATCCAGCGAAACTACAGAATTATCCGAATAAAGATTCGGATATGTTATCAATATACATAGACTGACCTAATAAAATCCAGTAGATTTCACATTTAGTGAAAATTGCAAAGAAAGCACCGTTAGGTCGCCATTCACCGTTCGACCTCCTTTCACCACTCTTGTATAGATACTTATTATTATTATTTGCTATTTTTTTTGTTTTGCAGGAAAACCCAATATTTAATTTTACAGCATCATATTATATTGATTAATGTTGCAAGCTTCTAGTAAAATAGTGATATAGTAAGTACAACAGATCGAACTCTATTGTCTGTGGACTTGATTACCCTTATTTTACATTATTTATTTTTATCAATAAAAGGGGAAAGCGGGGCAATTTCACCAATGGGACTTAATAATTAACTTATTGAACACATTTTACAAAAAATCTGCTGCATGTTTAAGTTTACTTGAACGATCCATTTCATTTTAGTCTAAAAATTACTTTTCGCTAGAGCGAATATTCGAAAAATGTGAGACTAGCTAAAGTTACAAAAATGTTATAAGATTTCGAATCAGAAAATAAGGTGTATCAGTAGTTTCTTATAACTTATCGTTAAGATTCATTCGACAGCTATATAAATGGTCATTGGTTTCTTACATATGTGACACGATGTTTTTCTAGTTTTTAATAAATATTAAAGTTTTTCTTAGAAACATATTACTTAAATTCATTCGATAATATGTTAATTTACCCGTTTAAAAAAAACTACACTGCCGGTGGGCGCATTACTGTTCCATGTGCTATGGAATTCCGTATGCACATAGGGACATTTATGCGTACATCGGCAGTAGACAGTTTAAATATAATTACCTTTATCGCACATGATCGAAATCCGTACACCTCATACAGAAAGTAGGCCTTTTTGTATGAGATGTACGGATTTCGACTCATTTATTAGGCGTACGGATTTCGGTCCTGCACAGTAATCGAGTGCGACCTGTATACAGCGAGCGGTGAAGGGAGGCCACGCGGTGAATGTTGACCTAACAATATTTTTTTCTTATAATTCATAATTATTTTACCTAACCGTTCGTGAAGCCTTAAAACACCTAAACCTTTAAAATAAATTGACTAAAATCAAAAACAATATGTAGGTACCTAAGATTACCATCGTGGTGAGTTTATAAGGTTGAACGAGCACTTTGGACAGTTTCATGTTTGATAGAGTAGAGTAATGAATCGACTGAATATTTATCTACAACTGGTTATTGGAACTTCTCATATGAGACGAACCAACCCACGGCTAAAAGTCTCATTACTACAGCTAAACTATAACCTAACTGGTACTTCAAACTGTTCGATCATAAATTTACATCATCATATCGACTAATCGGATTTTATTAATTACCGAACATTGTTTTGGGCCGAAGCGGCTTCGATTTCTATGAAACTTCGCCCATAGGTCGAGTTCATGGATATATTAACAAAAGTGAATTTCAAAAAAAACAGGTTGCCAATTTTTCCGGAAAACCATAGTTAAAGTTTTCCGATTTTCTCGTTACCACCAACTTCAAAAAATCATAACAGTCAAAGTCAATTAACAAAAATTACTTGAAATTTTGTCATCTATTGATACCTGATACCGCTTCAACTTCTAGCTGTGTTTCCGGTTCTACGACCTCCACACTAGCCACATCATGTCCATGCATCCGTCCTGCCAACTGCCAGCAGGTTTATGCCGCCACCTGCTCTTCCTCGGATCCGGGACACCCTAAAACAGGCACTGAGGAAGCTTCCGAATCTCCCGACCCAGTCGCGCTTGCTGCAGACATCCGCCATCGTCATCGTCTTGGTTCTGTCGGTGATGGTATCGGGGGGCTTCCGACCTGCAACCTCAGGCGATAATGTTAGCGATTCCGAGCTTTCGGTACCTGACGTCCTTTCGATTTATAGTTCCCATGATTGCTCCTCGAATGGTCTCCGGATCTACTACCAAAACGTGCGTGGGCTGAGGACTAAAATCGACTCGTATTTCCTGGCTGTTGCGGAGCCCGAATATGATTTGATTGTGCTGACGGAAACGTGGCTGGACGACCGAATCATTACTTCCGTCTTCAGAACTGACCGGTCTGCCCTAAACAGTCAAAAATGCCGATTGCTTGCTGTGCTCTTTTGGACGGTTTTAACTTCTGCGGGTTCACACAAGTGAATACTTTTCCGAACCGAAATGAACGTTTGCTAGATCTTGTCCTGCCAAATGATTCCGCACTACCGGGCACTTCTGTTTCCTTGCCGGTCGAGCCACTGATTGATCTAGATGCCGATCATCCCGCTCTCGTCGTGTTATTTAGTTTACCTACGCCGATTCTTTTTACGCCGTCATCTGAGTGCTACTCTTTGGACTTTCGCCGGGCCGAATATGTGGCATTGAACAATGCGCTTGCGGAAATTGATTGGCAATTTATCGAAACAGCCGCTAGCGTGAATGATGCTGTGGATTTTTCAGTGCTGCACTGGAAGATGCTATTTTCCGCATTGTCCCAGCTCGACGACCTCAGCTAAAGCCTGCGTTGTCTAACCCACGCCTACGCGTGCTAAAACGTCAACGCTCTGCCGCCCTCCGAAAGTATTGTAACCCTCGCTCGCCGACTGTTCAATTTTGCGAGTCGTAGTTATCGAAATTACAATCGTTTTCTCTATAATCGACACGTGAGACGCGCGGAAGCGAACGTTCGCACGAATCCGAAAAGTTTTTGGTCGTTTGTCAACTCCAAACGGAAGGAATCCGGGTTGCCTTGTTCCATGTTTCTCGGGAATGGCTTTTTTTTTATTATAGTCACTTTAACACTCTTGGGTCATTCGTGACTTGTCCGGGGGTGAGATTTGAACTCGTGACTTTGGCGTGAGAGAAATGTAACATTATTTCCTATCACCGAAAAATCGAACCAATCATGTTTAACTACGTTCTCTACGGACGCTGTCTTGCTCGTGTAGAGCACATAAAGGATCTCGGCGTTACATTGGACTGCAGACTCACTTTCAGAATGCACTACAATTACATCATCTCCAGAGGTAATCGAAAATTGGGCTTTATTTTCAAAAGCCGACGAGTTTCGTGACCCGCTATGCCTCAGGTCACTTTACTTATCGCTTGTGCGATCCTTATTGGAGTCAAGTTCAGTTGTTTGGTACCCTTCCATGCTAGCTGGATCATTAGAATTGAATCCGTTCAACGCAAGTTTGTGAGATATGCTCTTCGTTTCCTCAACTGGCGTGACCCAACGAACTTGCCACCGTACGAGGAGCGTTGCCGTCTCCTGGGAATCGAGCCATTAGAGGTGAGACGAACGGTCGCTCAATCTATGTTCGCTGGAAAGCTGCTAACGGGTGACATTGACTGTCCAACACTGCGGTCACAGCTAAATAAGTATGCCCCTGAGAGGTCTCTTCGTCAACGCGACTTTCTGTTTTTGGAACCACGGAGCCGGAATTATACACAACACGAGCCAATTCGAGCAATCAGCCGGCAATTGAACAACTTTTTTTATATGTTCGACTTCAATATATCAGCTGACGTGTTTCGTCATCGTCATCGTCACTTGGCATTTTCCGTACCGTTGACCGTAACTATTTAGTTTAAGTTTTATTCATTTAGACAATAATTGTCAGTTGAATTTTTCAATAAACAACAATAAAAAATACAGTTAGAAACAAATATCGCATGAAAGTTTTCACCGTTAAAGAAAATCCAAAAGAAAATCTGTGGAAATTATCGTCTGTATCATGGATTTTTTAAAAATTCATAAGCTTTTTTCGGTGAAAATTACAAGACGGTAGGCCCACGCACATTAGATCCGGATCGGACGCGTTGCGGCAAAATGACAGCTAAATCTATTGTCTAACTGTCAAATTTACGTCAACGCAACGCAAACGGATCTAATGTGGGTGGCCCTAAGAGATAAATTTCCAGATCTTGAAAAAACTTACTTATCTGTTAGATAGTTGCGCAGAGTAGTATAAAAACAAATTTAATTTTAAAAACTACAAGGGACAGCCCTATGGGGTTGTACGCAATGCTGACGTAGGACTACGTGGTCTTATATAATAAATGTTATTTGTTAACTACAGCAGGAGCTTGTGTTTTGTGTAGGAATAGGAATTTGAGCGGGGTTCTCTCTGTTTATACTCCTCTTAAGTATGACTATGATTGACCTGAATTTGAGTTGGGACATGTTCAGAAATTTAACTCTTTTGGAAAATCTTGGTGGCCCTGAAAAGGGCCGATGGTAATAGAAACTTAAAATCTTTGGAAGATCGTGTAGGCAGCTGGATCAGCAAATCTGACCGGACAATCCCGTATTCTTCTGTTAAATGATTGGGCACTCGCAAGAGTCTCGGCCCGTCTGCTGCTGGACAGGGGTTGAACTGGTGTTTGCGACAGGTTGGAAGGCCGCATAATATCAGTGTCCACCCAGCTAAAACTCCTCTACTTTTTAGTTTTATCTCGTTAAACTCCTTCTCTCAACAAGTTGGTAAATATTTGCTTTTAGCAGAAAAACGTTTAAAACTTTTTTCTGCGAATTCATGATTCTGTTTCATGTCATGGTTCTTCTCTATGCCTGTTCAGATAAATTAATACTTTTATTTATTTTCTCTACTGCGCTAATCAAACGAGTAGAAATAAGAAGGGATGCCGGTTACGCGCTCGAATAATCGATTAAATTAGCAACCAAAAATATCCATTAGTAACGATGGGCCAATCTTAGATCCATAGGCCAACATTAGAGACATTTCCCCTATATCCTGTGTCCTGTCTATTTCTGCTATGCTCTTCTATCATCCAGAACAACAAACATATCAATGAATGTGCTTGCCGTCGAGTAATTAACGAAACAGAAAGTCGACGAAGAGAATCGATCAAAATCACTTGCACCTCTGCTTCCAAGTTTGGTTAGAAGATTACTACTCTGCAGAGCATTTTGGGTGGTCGTTGAGGCCGTGTGGTTCTGAATATGACGATGAGTGTGCAAAATGTTACGCAATTGCATCCTCCCTATTTGCACACACCCGAAGATCGGAGGCGAATGCCACTTCGACTTGTTTCGTCTACTAACGGCTCTCTGATGACAGTGTTGGGGAAGCAGCATATGCATGTACGTAATTGGTGGAATTGTTAGTTATTTCGACGCTTTTGGACAATGCTTGACATTTACCACCTTTTCAATAGTTTCTTGTTAAAATTCAACAGTCAGAAGCATTGCTATCGATACGTAGACATTTTTCTGATTGATTGGTGAAAAAATTATTGAAATTGGTCCAGGGGCAGCTGAGTTATTAACGTTCAAAATCTTTCATAATTTCGTTACATGTTCCATTTTCGGTTTTCACAAAGTGTACCCCCATATAGAAATCACAAACGTAGTCCTACGTCAAAACTTGTGTAGCCATGACAAGGATTTTAACATCAGAGCAGAATGACACTTTTTACCAACTTCACATGAAAAAGGTCCTTGTGAAGGCATTGGTGGTAACATCAAGAGGATGGCTGGGGATGCTAGTATAAGAAAGGGTGTTGAAATTAACAACGCTAACGTCTAAAGAAACAAAACACCAGTTCAAAAAAGATTGGGAATTTAATTTTGCAACCAACGCATATTATAAATATGCTGAAAATGTGCTTCAGGAAAGATTTTAAGATTTAGTAACAATCCCTGGAACTAAGAAATATCACGAATTTATCCCCAAAGATGAGCGAGAGCGAAGCATATTTTATATGTTAAACTTATAAGAATATGATTAATTGTTTTTTTTAAGAATAGTTGACAAAATTTCAAGTAATTTTTGTTAATTGACTTTGACTGTGCGATACTGGTTTAAAAGTTATGATTTTTTGTTGGTGGTGTCCGAGAAAATCGGAAAACTTATACTAAGGTTTTCCGGAAAAATTGGCAACCCTGATTTTTTTTAAATGTTCTTTTGTTTATATATCTATGAACTCTACCTATGGGCAAAGTTTCCTAGAAATCGAAGACTCTTCGATCCAATTTGTCCGATAATTTAAAAAATTCCCCTTACGTAATATTTTGCTTTTCAGAATAAAATGAAAAGGGTTAACTAACGAGTTTCAAGAAAATATTATCTTCCAACACATTGATGTAACGTACACCGGGGCAAGTGAGAATAAAGGGTAAGTGAGTACGGTGGATAATATATTTAACTATTTTTTAACAGGAATTCAAAGGTTAACCCCGCCTGAAGATGAAAGATGCATGTTTTCAACTCCGTTTCCAGGAAATAGTACTAACCTGTTACTTTGAACTAGCGAATAAAGTTACACGCAGTCATGTTTATGAAGCATTTTGTTGAACATTTACTTGAGATGGGTCTGTTTTTTTTTATTTTTTTGAAGAATTGCACACGAAAAAGTTACAAATTTTAAATAGCTTTCAATGAATATCTGAAGTCACGGTATATTGCATGACCCGGGGCAATTGAGACCTATACGGATAGAAATCTTCTTATACCTTTTGGCAAATTTATATTGCTTTTTATTCATAAAATGTATAAGTCAGACTCCTTGCAAAAAAGTTAATGAAGATCATGTCTCAAATGAAATGCATAAGCGGTCACACATACCTTTTATGCATTCTTATGTGGTCCTATGTGGTTTGTCTTATGGAATGTATAAGGCTGATGTTTTGGCAAAAATGTATAAGTGAAACACATGAATAAAATAATTGATTTTCGTTTCGTGTATCCAAACAATGTATTGGAATCCAATGTTATCGCTTCTTTTCGAGCATATTGTGTACACCGGTACATTAATAGAATTCCACTCATTTTTATTGACGAATTTCCATGTAAAATTGCACATCATTTTCATGTGACCACACATAAGTCGAATCCATCCAGAAGCACACATGAAATGTATGAGTCAAATGAATAGTATGTGTGGTTACACATGGCTTTTATGTGTACACATATTAAGTATGTATCTGAAACATAGATATCGTTTGTTGGTCACATTGCAAAAATTCATGTGTGGGACACATAATAACAATCTTTGAAATTTTATCAGTGTAGTATTTTCTGTTCAAAAACGGTAAATTTATATTTAACTAGCTGAGTGTGCCCGGTCCCCGGATACCGAGAAGAACAATATAGAAGAAGCTGCTATGCTCAGCAGTCGCCTGTTTTCAAACACAAGAATGACTCATATTACTTGTATGTATAGTAGTGGAGATAGTGGACTATACCGAGGAGAGATAGTGGACTATACAAAGGACGAAGAGGAGGCTAAGCGGTTGGTGCTGTGGACGAAAAAAAAAACGATTGGAGGAAGAAAACGAGTTGCGGACACGGCTAAAAGCGGAAACAAAGCTCATATCGCCTCCAACCCCTGCAATGCAATCCAGTTTTTGAAACTGCCGAAAACATCAGCAGCGCTGGTGATGTATAACATATTTAAGCTCCAACCATGTAACATTAAATGCGGCAAGGTGGCAACAAATGTAATGCCTTCAAAACCATTCTTACTTTCCCGCAAGGGATAAATTAAAAAATGATTTAGGTAGTTGTTTTCGAATTGACGAGTACAATTTGCGTGAACCATGCATTCCTATAACGCTATCTAGAAATCTTTATCTATTTTCCGCAACGCGGCATGACATGTACCAAGCTTAATCATAGAGGAAAAGGAGGAGCTGTCAAATTAGCACCAGAGCACCAGAGAAATTTGCCTTCACTCGAGTTGTTCGTAGATGACAGGCGTTGCAGTCCTGTGTTTAAACCAGTGAATTTAATTAGTCGGTAAAACGTATGTTCACAACACATTTTGTGAACTTTTTGAAAAATTTGCGTTGAATGGAATTGAGCGGTAAACGGCTACCATACGGTGCTACTATGAATAATTATTCTATGATACCTAACATACCTATATGATTCGAAAGAATTGCTAACGTTTTGAAAGAAATTGATACACTGGAGTCGCTTTTTACGCTCGGGGATACGTGCAGCGTAAAAAAACCGCGTAAATTCCGAAATCCGCGTAAAAAAAAACCGTGTAAAAAACCGCGTAAAAACCGACTCCAGTGTAATCTATGTTCGAGATCTCGGTCATTTTGCAACATCATCCCACGCGTAGTAATGGATCATTATTGTGAGAAAACTATAACGTAAAAATAAAACATCAGAATCACGAGAAAATATTGCAAAGTTCAAAATGTTGTATCTCCTTACCCTATCAAACATTACCTAATTTTCATGATTACACACTTAGAAAAACAATGGAATCTCCGTTTGGCAAGGTCTTCAGAATCCACCACAGGTACGTACAGAATAATGTATCGCATCGCATTCTGTCCAACTACTATGAGGCATTCTTTTATTCTCTTTATTAGCTCTTATTCTCTATATTATTTAAATTCGGAAACCCTATCAATATTTATTCATATCTATCAATGCGAAAACTTTCTACATTTACTTTGAGAAAAAGGTACCCAATCCGATAAATTATCTTGCAAAAATCCCAGTGTTTAGAATTTTGATCAGAAAGACAGAACCGAGGCCAACTAGATAGATTGTAAATAGATAATAAAAAAATCTATATTCCTTTTTGTTTTTGATTCATGTAACGCAAAGCATAATACAACACACTTTTTACCTTTACTACTAATAAGCATTTAGGAAAATAGGAGAATAGATGATTTTTGTGGAAATGTGAATTAGATAACAAAAATATATACATACCTCCGTCGCATACAGAATGTTCAAGATTCTTTGGATCAGCGAGTTCGGAACCTCGTTCTGTTCATCTTCTTGGCAGCTAAAAAAAATCAATCCGGTCTTCAATACATCCCTTCAAGTGTCGTTAATCCTAGTAGGTAGGTACACACTTACAGAATTTCAATGTCTCTCAGCTTGCTAAAATAGAAGTCACGCTCCTTCTCCAGTCCTTCCAGGTGTAACCGCATGTCCATCACTTGCGTGGTGAGCTCTTCAACCTGCTGGTTCGATACGCTGTTCTGCGAGGAGGATTTGCTGGCATTAGCGGTAGAGGACAGGCCACCCGTTGGTCTGCTGACTGTCTGCGCCACCGGTCTACTGGGTGTGACTTTGGACACTAGATTAGATTAGTTGTTTTGCAGGGTGCATTGTTTTATTTAATATTTTTGTTCGTTTGTGACCATAATCAACGAAACCAAAAATGAAAGAAAAAAATGATGCATTTGTGTGCACTTGGCTTTAAACAATACATTCTCTACTACAGCAAGGAAATAGAAGATGGAAAATAAATAACTCGAAGGAGGAGGAGGAGGGGTTAATTTTAGTTGAGCTTTTGTGATCTAGGCATTGTTTCCCGAAACCACCGAACGTAATTGGCATGTTTGGCAATGAGTTTGGCATCGCTGGTGGTATGGTTAGGTACGCGGAGCTTATCTCTATGTCTATCGTTATGTATGTACAATGTAGCAGAAATGTGAGAAAAAAACCCAAATATACCGGAGGAGACGGCGTTAGTTATTCATTGATTCAATTGGAACCTCGCTTCTAATGCTGATGTGAAAAACAAAACACGAGTAACCAATGCGAATAATTGATTATGTACAAACGGAACAGGTGAGAAATGGGAGGTTTTTTGTATGTTTTACGGGACCTTGCTCCAGTTGCATAATCTGTATTTACATCAAAATCAGTTGATAGGTACCGAATCGATTACCTTGAAAGGATCATGGCAGGTAAAATACGCCAATGTTGCATATGATTCTATCATAGTTGAAAATGTACACTATGTGCTATGCCCTTGAGAAGCGGTGTTTTAATTGAATTGCTAGACAATTGTGAAAACAATATTGCCAATGCATTGATGTCAACTGAGTGCGACAATTGACGATACAAATGATTTTCAGCTTATTGTGCTAGGATTTTTATTTTGCTCCAAATATGAGAAAAAACATTCGCGTAAATTTAGGACTCATTTTTTAGAAGCAGTCTCAAAAATGGGAAAATTAAATGATGGAATGATGTAGGATTGGTTCATTGTCTTCTATTTTGTTTATTACATCCTAAGTAGAGCTTTCCGCCTGTCCTCAAGGCTTTCGGAAGACCCCAGGAATTTGTTGATATTTTTAAAGTATATAATAAGAATTAATTTGACGCATTAAGGGAGCATCCATTAAATGTGTCACGTTTTCATATTACATATGCATTGTTTGTAATATAATTTAAACCCCCCTTACAGCGTGACATACTTAATGGATTCGGGTTAGTATCGTTAATCGTCTGCATCCACATACACTTGACAGGGGAGCGCCAATCAATCATGGCCATATGTAGAAAAGGCTACAAACAGCTGAAAACTAAAGATAAAAAATCAACAGTAAGGGTTACAGTTTCTGATAGAAAGTGAAAGGATTCATTTCGTACGGAAGTGAGAAATGGAAGTAAATACGTGCGAAAGAGCAAAGACCGCGTACCGATCCAACAAAGGTGCCGTAGGTATGATGTTCAAGAGGAGAGGATTAACACAGGAGCAAATTACACACTAATTGAGCACAACTAAAGCAAAAGAAACGTCTTGAAAGGTAATAAATGATAAAGAAAAAAAAAACACACATACTCGGCTTAATTTTATCTCGTGATGTGGATGAGACGAGTGGTGCCCTGCGGGGTACGGACGCTGCTGCTGCAATACCGTTGCCTTTCGGTGCACCAGCGCCACCCATACCCATTGGTAGGTTATCCCGGGCCAGATAAGCATCATACTCTCTACCGTCATAGTTTGCGTCGAAGAATTTTTTAAACCATTGCAAAAACTCAAAATTATCTTGGAAACGACCTTTGATTAGTTTATCGATTGGAATAATCTAAAAGAAAAAAATATAAGAAAAACAATGAAACGTTAACAAACACAAGCTGGGAAATGAAATGTGATCGTATTTATATGATGATGAACGGTAATCACTGTTGAAACTAAACGAAAAATGTCTAGTTAACTAACCCTCGACCCATCGAAACTAGGAAAGACTAGGTAGTAAGTATTAACGCAAGCATAATCCAACAAAGGGATTCCGTTACGCATTGAGACAAGTAAGTCGATGAAACCATACGTGATCAGCTAATTTATCTCTCCCTCCTCATTCGCTTAACTAAGAACAGAAAGTAAAACGAACGTCGTTTTTAACAAACAGAGACAAGATTACACTACCAGTGGAAGTGACGTGGTGAGTGGGATATTTCTGCGATTTTGGCGCTTGAATGTGTCGTTTCGGTAGCTCACCGACGCCCAGTTCGTTCTGGATGGCACCCGATCCGAGCTGGATTCCAAACCGCGCTTCCAACGCATCATACTCTCGACCATCGTAATTCGCATCAAAGAACTTTTTGAACCACTGTAGGAATTCAAAGTTATCCTGAAAACGTCCTTTTATCAGCTTATCCACTGGGATGACCTAGATAGGAATCGGAAAAATACAAACAGCGAAGTGGTACATAATAAATTTGGACCATCAATGGAGGTAAAAGTCATCGATAGAGTATAAAACATTAATCAGCAGCAAAGCAATGTCACGTAATCGCTTAGTTGCGGCATAGTTAAACAAACCCCAGAAAAGATAGCATCTTCTATTTATACGCAATGATTCAACAAGAATGTTTGTATTCAGCGCATGAAACGACAAGCACTTACCTTATCAACGTTCATCTTCTTGAAAGCCGCCTGCAGGATTTTGAAGTTCTGAATGTACTCGTGTTCGAGGTTCGTACGAAATTTAATACGTTTCATTGGCACTGAGCCTGGAAAGAGCATATCCATATACTGACAGTAGGCGGCACCCGTACATAGCTCTTCGATTTTCGTGAACTGCGACCGAAGGCAATCGTTGACCCACGAGAGCATATCATGCCGGGATAGGTTGTCTGTGGTTACATTAGTGGAGTACACGTTCACGGCCATTTCTGAAAACAAGAAAAGAAATTAAAAAAAAAATATATTACTAATCTCGAACGATTACACCTGTACTGCACTCAATAAGTAAACCGCTAAAGCATCTATCAAAATCTATACTCCGTTAATCGACCAAATCAAGGTCAAGTGGCAAAACAATTAAACAAATTCAATTTCACCACTTGTTGCGCACGTCATAATCAAACAAGCGGAAGAGTCCAAAAACAAGTTAACTAAAGCTGTACATTCGCTGTTGGAAACGTACCATGTGGAGGTGCGCTAGGTAATTCCCAATAGAAGAGGGAGGACACAGCATTACAGCAGCTCCAGCAGCTTCGATGATGGGATGACGAACAAGCGATCGTCCCATACCGCCGACGCCGCCACAGGCCATCCGTTAGCACGAATCTTGGCGATTTGAACTTCAGCCGGTCGCAATTGTGTTTGCATAACAGGATTTTCGCCAAAAAAAGTGGTGAAAATAATATCGTTTTGTTGTGTGTGTGCTAAATAACCACATTCCGTTGAACATATTCGATCTCTGTAGACAAGACACACGACCGACAACTAACTGGCGATGGGTAAACAAACGTTTGTGGCGCGCGAAAGTTGCACTTTCGGTGTTTAACTGTAGGTATGGAACATGGCCGATATCTCTATTCAAATGTGGCAGCGAAAAGATAGAGCAGTACGATAGCAACGATGACTCATTCGATTTTTTTTATGGATTCTGTTGTGGAGTGATGCATTTGATTTGGATGTAGAGTAAGGTGCAGCAAAAGTTCGTCTTGAGGTTTTCGACACCTGTGCAAAATAAAATTCATTGTTTTGGCACTTGTTTGGAAGGTCTTTTAGAGCCAAATTTTCCCCCAAATAATCACAAAAAGGTGATGTTTTCGAAGAATCATAGACAAAAGTGTGTTTCGGGATGATAAATTATAACATTTGACTAACTTTGGCGGCGAACAACAAGATAAATTCAATAGTGAAGGGGTAATTATATTTCAGGGCATAATTGCGATATTCTTGATTATCAAGCGGCGCCTGTGGTGTAGTGGTAAGCGTGATTACCTCTCACCCCAGCAGGCTTGGGTTCAATCCCAGTCGGCGTCGCCGGGATGTTCTAAGGCATAACATCTCTGTTCACGCCTTCCTTCGGAAGGGAAGTAAAGCCATTGGTCCCCGGTTCATGAGTTGATGGGTCGATAGGTAGGGCTGGAGCTGCCTCCCTGGCGTCGGTAGCATTGTTACTCAGCACGGAAAACAAAATCGACGGAAAACAAATCAAGAAAAAAAAAGAACTAAAAGTATCTCTTCGTGATTAAGTATTTCTTGTTCTACATTTTATCTCCTCCCCACCTTACTCTTTGCAGTTCTCACTGGGTAAAATGAATATACGTTCAAGTATGATTGTTTTAAAGTGTGTACAAATGTCAGCTTGTATTGATAGTAGGATTAGAAATTTCATGAACGTGAAAATGGAGGATGTTTTAAAGCTGTATACATTCATGTATTAGCTTTTAGAAGCTGAAGTCTCTTAGAGTGAATGAAACATTTATTTTTCGCAACAATATAAACACAGACAAACAGACATAACACATTGAATATTTCTCACTGTAAAACATCGTCGCTAAAACATTACCGCCATCTGTTGAGTACACTGTGGTGGGTAGTACGCTTAACAGATGGCGGTAGTGTATAAACGTCAAACGCAAGGGAACTGACTATGCGCGCCACAGGTGGCGGTACTACCAACTACGATACTTTTAAATTGACCGTTAAATGCTTGTTCGATGAACAACTTGCTAGTGTTATGTCTGTTTGTCTGTGATATAAAGGTACAAAGAAACATTGGAAAATCCGTTCAGCAGCAGGGCTTAAACGCATCGCTAGGACTCCAGAAGTGCTGGAACAGAACTAAAACGTGCGTGCCAGCTACGATTAATATTCCTGACAAATGAATGTGTATGCAAAAACAACAGGATTTTAAACTTATTGTGCTGTCACACTTTTAAATCTGTCGGCAAAAAATAACATTCAGTTGCGGACAAACGAAGCTTGGGTATGTTTTGTTTATTTTCTTGACATTTGACAGTTCATTGTAGGCTCAAAAGACTTCTCTGACGTTTGTCGTGTAAATGAACAACGTTACTTGTTTACGTTTCGAGATACTTCTTATTACAAATATATAAAAAAAATAAATAAAATAAATAAATAAAATAAATATTACTAACTTTTCTCCATAAAATCATGAATAACTAAATTGTTCAGCTATGGCTATTAAAAATCTTTCTTTCAAAAATATGATCGGGGCTACGTCTAAATCACGTTTCTCAGAGTTGCTACCCAACAAAAGTTTATTTTTCAATCATTCACTTGGAGGATAAGCCCCCAGGTTTCCAGACAAAGTGTTATTTAAGGCCACGCTAATGTACATTCAAACTGCAAGATATATTCGCGCAAGCGTATAAGTGCAAGAAACTGTTTACGTATACGATCGTTTTTGCACTTTTATATACATCTGTACGCCTAAAAATCTGCACTGCATTCAAAGAAGTCTATGTATCTCGAAATGTTCAATTTTTGGCTTTGCTCCCTAATTGGCCCTATCTTAAATTTCTCTTTTTCTCTCCAAATTTAATTTAATGCATGGCTAAAACATACATTTTGCAATATGGGGGAAATGCAGGTAATGTCGGCCTAAGTGTCTCTAATTTGGGCCCATACATAAATTCAGCAATCGACTAAATTTTCAATAGAATCCAACAATATCCATTAGTAACGGCCCAATAAAGCGTTCATCTAGATAAAATTGATAAATAGCAGATTTTTAGCGATGGGCCCAATCTTAGATCCAACATTAGAGACATTTCCCCTATCTACGCATATAAATCCATGAAAATTTATTTGAGCTACCCACTTGGGTCTAAAGCATAACTGGCACACTTACCCTACATTACTAACACTATGTAGGTAGCTATTGTTTATATCCCTAAAGGGTGATACGGTCAAAATTTGGTCAATATCAACTTGACGTATTTCTTTCAATTTTGCATTTAAAAAACCTGAACACCCCTCATTTTGAAGGTGTGTGTGTGTAGAATGTTGCTCCTATTTTGATTTTGGAATTCACTCTTCAGTTGTCAAAATGCCGTCCAAGCAAGAAGAGCAGCGTATCAAAATTTTGCTCGCGCATCGCGAAAATCCGAGCTACTCGCACGCAAAGTTGGCAAAATCGCTAAAAGTTGCCAAATCAACCGTTACAAATGCAATTAAAGTGTTTGGGGAACGTTTGTCGACAGCCAGGAAGTCAGGATCGGGGGGAAATCGAAAACCGGAAGCCGCTGAGACGACAAAGAGAGTTGCCGGTAGTTTCAAGCGAAACCCTAACCTCTCTCTCCGAGATGCCGCAAATAAGCTGGGTGTATCGTCTACGACCGTGCATCGAGCCAAAAAACGAGCCGGACTATCGACTTACGAGAAGGTAGTGACTCCAAATCGCGATGATAAACAAAATACGACGGCCAAAGCGCGATCCTGGAGGCTGTACACGACGATGCTGACGAAGTTTGACTGCGTGGTAATGGACGACGTAACCTACGTCAAAGCCGACTACAAGCAGCTTCCGGGACAGAAGTTTTATACGGCAAAAGGAAGGGGAAAGGTAGCAGATGTTTTCAAGCACATGAAACTGTCAAAGTTCACAAAGAAATATCTGGTTTGGCAAGCCATCTGTACCATTGGCTTGAAAAGCAGCATTTTCATAGCTTTCGGGACTGTCAACCAAGAAATTTACGTGAAAGAGTGTTTGAATAAACGTCTGCTGCCTTTCCTGAAGAAACACGGTTGTTCCGTACTGTTTTGGCCGGATTTGGCATCTTGCCATTACGGTAAAAAGGCCATGGAGTGGTACGCCGCCAACAACGTGCAGGTGGTTCCCAAGGACAAGAACCCTCCCAACACGCCAGAGCTCCGCCCAATTGAGAAATACTGGGCTATTGTCAAGCGGAACCTAAAGAAGACCAAAAAAACTGCTAAGGGCGAGCAGCAGTTCAAGGCAAACTGGCTTTCTGCGACGAAGAAGGTGGACAAGGTGGCTGTACAAAATCTGATGGCAGGGGTCAAGCGTAAGGCCCGGCAATTCGGATTTGGAAAAGCGGAAGCCTAACTGAATATTTTTCCTGAATTTTATACTAATTGAACTTGAAAAAGAAATTTAATTTGATTTTTTAAATAAACGATTTCACCGATTTACACGCGTTTTCCCTTGACCAAATTTTGACAATATCACCCTTTAATAGCATATCTACAGAATAAACATTTTAAAATAGACAATCATGAGTTGTAATTTGATTTCTGTAGATAAGTTTAAAAAAATGCTTGCATATTGATAATAGGGAAAGGAAAATTGAAGTAAAGGTTGGGCCCATCGCTGAAAAAATCCTGTTCTTCAATTTTTCGTAGAACAACGCCTCATATGTACAATACAAATTAATATATTTGCTTGCTGGTGAAACATTTTTTTAAAAAATGCTTCCCTTCAAAATGTATGCATGGGTCAAATATTAGGAACACTTAGGCCGAAATTTGGGACATGAAACCCACAACATGGATCAAATTAATTTAATAACGGAACTAAATCATACAAGCAGATTGATTGTACTTGGTTTACGGTATCTAGATGTTATGACCATTGAAACCACCACGAAAGCCACCATGATGCGAAAGCAGAAAATGATGCTGCCTTTTTCCCGACTCACAATCTGAAAACTATGGTTTATGTTGTTCGTTGTACCCTCTTGTTTACCCGCAAATCTCTGAGTCTATACGTTTCTGCCTCTAGTTTGCAATTAAAAAGTGACGTATTTGCCTTACACTTCATATCACGGCTGCTGCTACTGCCGGTGCTTTAACGCTGGCTGCTTCAAATGCGTTTCACCGGAGGGCTGATGCAAAGAGAGAAAATCGATCGTGGAACTGACAAATGTTTCACACTACTATTCTTGTCAAG